AAAACAGCTCTCAAAAACGTAGAAACTCAAGCCCAGACGGCCCACCTTCGGACCAGACGGCCAGGCCAGGTACTTAGCAGACCCACTGAACTGGGCAGACTTGCTGACGGCCTGTGCCCTGCCTTTGCACATCGCGGAGCTGGCTGGCGCTGACAGCCAGGCCTGCAACACACCCTTGTTGTGGTAGGAGTGCCACCTCACCAGTGGAATAGGTAGCTTCGTTGGGATGTCCTGTCTTCATAGTGGCAACAGATGACGCACCTTCTGCTGGATTCGTCCCAGAATGGCAACAAATGACGTACCCGGTGATTGGTTCGTTGCTATGCCCTGCGCGTTGCATTGTGTTTTGTTTGGAATCCTTGGCTTCATCGCTGTTGCATTTGCATGCTGATTTGTTTGCAATCAGCCCCCGACGGCATCGATTCGCCAATTGATTCGCCTCTTGTGGCCACTTTCTGATGGCTTCAGACAGGACAGCTGAGCTCATTGAGGTGGACCGGTTGTTTTGTGGCTACCGTCACACAAGAGCCGCCTGTGAAGGGTGAGCTAGGGGCCTCATGTTTTTTGGGGGGGATTGTAAACATAACACAGGACCTTTGTGAGGCTGAGGGGTCTTTGAAAAGACCCAATGCTGCGTGAGGCACTGAACATTGTCCTGCTCTTCTTTGTGCCCCTGGCGCGGCTTTTGAAGCTCCTCCGATATTTTGCGCCTCGGGGTCAACAAAGTCGGGGCGGTATGTGAGGGTTGGGCAAAATTGGTTTAAACAGCAAGTTCCCTGGACTGTTTTTGTTTGGTTTGAAGACAGATTGGTTTGATCCCTGGGTGGCTTGAGCGACCTGCCGTTGTTTGCCCAGGCTCATGCTTTTCCGTTTGCTCGGGCTTGCCACTTTGACGTTGCTGGTGCACGAACGTCGAGTCGGGGGGGGGGGGATACCTACGAAGAGTGCGTTAAAGCAGGCTTGTGAAAAGGCAGCCTGGCGCTTTTGGCAGACGGTGCCAGCTTTTGGTCCGCCCTCTCTCAAGTTTCCTGGCCCCCTTTGGGCAATTGCTAACCTGAAGCCAGGCTTCCCTTCACTCTCGCAAGCCCAGCGTTTCACACAGGAAGTCTTCCGGCTGCTGATCGTGGCGTTTCGCAGCTCCGCCTCTGCCTTGCCGGTGCTCTTTTATTTCTTATGCGCCTGGTCTATGTGTCGACAGATTTTGGTGTCCCTTGAACCGACCTGACTGAAAAAGGTGAACGAACACACAGACACAATAAATATGTGTGTGTGTGGTTCTGTTTGCGTGTGTTTGTGTGTGTGTGTGTCTCTCTGCGTGTGTGTCTCTCTTTGTGTGTGTGTGTGTTTGTTTGTTTGTTTGTTTGTTTGTTTGTTTGTTTGTGTGTGTGAGTGTGTGCGTGTGTGCCTCTGTGTCAGTGCATTCGTTCGTGCTTTTGTTGGACCTGTGTAAACTGCGTGATGTTCTGTGTTTTGAGGGATTTGTGTGTGTGTGTAATGTCATGTATTGTCTGATATTCTCAAGCACTCCTGTGTTTTCAAGGAAGCAGCAAAAGCCTCGAAACAGAGCCAAAAGAAAAGCAACAACCAGAAGAAAAACAACACATTCTCAGGCAGCCTTTCCATTGGATCAAGCCTGCCCAAGCCAAACACCAACAAACACGCTGTTCTGGTGCTCCTTGATTCTATGGTGATTTGTTTGGAGTTTTGCTTGACCTCTGGTCTTGGGCAGGGCTGACCCAGTGAATATGGTTTTGTTGAAAGACATGCCTACTTAGATCCTTGCTTTAACTGGACATTGGAGTTGAACTCTTCTTGAGCAATTTGTCTTTAGCTGCTAGCTGAGTTGTAGAGAACGTTCTATTGGAAGGACATCCTGTGTAAATATTAACTTGAAATTGAGTTCATTATAATCTTTGTTCTTGGATTCTTTCCTTGTCAATCTCTATTGAACCTCTAATTTAGTTGCAAAGTACTGTTTGGCAACTAATTGCATCTAAGATGAAACTTCCTGCAGGTTTCGGAACAAGCATTTCCTTGTTGAGCACAGCTTAAATTATTGTCAACATCCAGGAGGAGAGGTGAGCTTAGTACGGACCAAGCTACACAACACTGTGCTTTGCGATGTTTTCTGACCATAGTGTGCTGGTGCTAGGTCAAAACACAATTGTTGGACGTCTGAGCCATGTTATTGTGAAATTATACTTGGCAGCTTTATCAAGTTCTACTCAATTCACAGCTGAATTTAAATTGGATTTAATGAGGACACACTCCAAGTGTGAATAGATAAATACACGGGATGTCCTTTCCGATCTAAGTCTCTTTGCACATTGGATGACATCCGTTAGCATTTAAACACAATGTAATCAACACACGTCCAACATAATGACAGAGGCAAAACAAGCGCAAACGGCAGAAACATATTTGCGTGCACAAGCAGATCAACATATAGGAAAAAGTTCACTGCCACAGTCCCCAGCTCTCTTTGTTTTCGGGACTCGTTTTTGGCGGACCCTCCTGGGGTATGAAACCGCTATATATGTATATATCCCTCAAATTGTGATGTAATGAAACCACCAAGAACCAGCCGTTGCAAGGCTGCGGCCCTCTTTTTTGGAAACACCCAACTGTTTGCCGCCTCAATTTGCCAGATGCTATCAGTCGTGGTTCATGTAAAGCCCGGTTTGTACAGTGGCCGCAGGCAGGGACAACGCATCCCCAAAGAAAGCAATTACCCAGAAAGGAATGAAATTATGCCTCAAGAGCCTTACCAGAGCGCCGAGTTTGGAAGTGCTTGGAGTGCCTTTGTGGGGGTGTGCCTGCAAGTTCCAAAACTCGGCTTCGGCGCTTGTCAGATTTTTTTGTATATTTCAGTTTCGCGGCTTTTTGAAGATCGAACGAGTTTTGGAGCCCAGCCAAGGTGTCATTGTCCTTATCTCTGCGTCTGCCATTTACTTAGCCACTCGGCTGTTACAAGCAATGTTTGCTTCCTGGCGGTTTGTGCTAAGTTGCACAGCTGACTGGCCTTTTGCAACCATTATGTGAGGCTTGGCTACACCTAGAAGATGTATTATCCGAAGTTAAGGACCACCCTGTTTGGCTTCGGAAAGCTGGGCGGTCCATTTGGTGCTATAGAAGTTTCCATTGACGATACCCAGCCTGACACTCGACACTGGGCACACTCAACACTGGAACACTCAACACTGAGCATCCCCAGGAAGAAATCGGCAGCTACTCCCGAATTGCCCATGACTGAGGTCGAGTCTCGGAGCAACATTCCGAGTATGAATCATTCACTGTGGCTCGCAGTGGTCACCATAACTACGGTGGGCTACGGCGACTACTTCCCCAAGTCCCTCCCGGGCTATGTGATTGTGTCCTTCCTGACACTGACATCTGTCTTGCTCCTGGGTGCTAAACAGCCAACACTTTTGCTTACCCAAAAGCAAGAGAAGATGTGTCAAATGGTTCCCGAAAAGATTGCAAAGGGTTCTTCAGGTACCATCGCCAGCCTTATCTTTGAAGGCGGCACGGTGGGACCAAACCCACTTGGGAAAATGACACTCCCTGCACAGATCGGCATGGTCGACATGCAACCCTTTGGGATACTTGCATTGAGAAGAACCCCCTGCGTTGAGAAAGGCGCGCGCAACAGCTTGCAGAGAGATAGTTGTGCAGAGAGCTTGCGCAGAAAAGCTTGCACGGAGCACTCGCGCAGAGAAGCTATGCACCCAGATCTCGGAGAAGCTTGCGGCGAGAACAGGGGCGAAGCAACTTGAACATAGAAACTTCCACAGACAGCTTGCGCAGAGAAACTTGCATCGAGGACTTGTGTAGACAAACTTGAAATTTAAGCCGGCGACTAGCGCTGAGAAGGTTTAATAATGGAGGAGGCTTGCGCAGAGAAAGCTGGGTAGCCCAAAGAAACTTGTAGAGGGACTCTCGCAGCTATGGCATGAGAATTCTCTCGCAACCGCTAAAGCTGCCGCTCCCGGTATGTTATGCTTTCAGGCCGCCCGTTTTCCAGTATTATTTCAGACTTCCCAATTGACACCCAGGTTCCTAGCCCTGCCTGTGGGGATCATTGGCAACGAGTTCACGGCCTGCTGGCAAAGCCGGACCCAAGTCCTCCTCACCACGAGGGCACGCAAGTGCATGCAGAAGTGGGGCTACACAGCCTCCCAGGTGAGGATGCTGTTTGAGTATGACACTTAGCTTTATTTATGCTCGGTGGTTTGCTCGGGCTTCATAGCTTGCTTAAAAGCCCAATTCTACGGATCACCAAGTCGGCACTGGGATACACGGTAACTGAAAGCCTGGCAACGCCAACTTCCATTTGCCATCGCTGGAGGCGATGCAATGACAGGGAGCCCGTTTCCGAAGATTGCGCTCTTGACAGGGGGGGAAAAATAACCCTACGGTTTGTGTGCAGGCTGCCGGTGCTGTACTAGCACCAATTAAGTTCAAAATGCTAGGCCCCATTGTCCCGGCATGTAATGATGGATGTTACCGGGTTCTTCCTGGCCTAGAATGGCACCGGCGCGTTTACTTGGATTGGCGACCTTACGACCGTGGCGCTTCACATGCGAAGTCTCAATTGCATCGGGAGGTGCTAGGGTTATGCGAGAAGGGCTCATGCCTACTATGTATTTGCAACACGTGTGCGCCTGCTCGTGAATATCTGCGATCAAATGATCAATAGCAAATCACGATCACTTTTGCTTGGCGCAGCTATCTTTCCAGTAGCTGAGCCAAGTCTAATCTAGTTTCAGCCCAGGGACCCAAATCCCTCCAGATCTTGTAGCATCGAGGCTCTGCGCTTGAGAATTATGCGCGCCATTTCGCCGTGTTGCTGAAAAGCGGTTGAGGCGTAGGATTACACTTAATTACATACATTCTGGCAAGGCACGCAACCCAGGGCACAATGTAGATCGTATTCCTTTGGCAGGATCATGCGGTTGCACCCACATTTTTTAGATATTTGGCTGCTGGGTTGTATCTCTTGCCATGTCAAGTTCGTTTGTGCGTGTGCGTTGCCTGTCGGATGGCAGAAACAATGGCGCTTTATGCGGTCATCAGCAAAAGCCACGCTCAGCTGCGGTAAAAGCACGCAGGGCAGGTGCGCATGAGCTGGTGGGCAGCCCGGAACTCGCGACGCGCTCTGCCACGCGACAAGGCGACAACCAGGCGACTGCGCGTTGGAAGGCGGCAGGGCGACAACGCGACAGCGCAAAGCTTCAACTTTTCTAGAAGCCACTGTTCGTCAGAAGTTCCAAAGTGTTTGGGACGGGAGCTCTTTACCTTCCAGCTTTTGCTGCAAAACATCGGCTACTAGTAGGCTTCCTCATCGATGTGACATGAGGTATCCTGTTCAACTTGGTTGAACAGCAATAGGTGGATCCCACTGGTTGTTTCACAACAAGTGTTTGGTTCTATAGTCATTTGCCAGCGCCAACATCTTCCACCAGGACAAGCTCCATGGGTTTGTCCCTGGTCTCAGCTTGGTGCTAGTTATTTCCCTGCCGGGTTCAATGGCTTGGGCAAAGGTGGACTTAGACCACGACGGCACGCTGAGCATCTCCGAATTTATGGAACTGATGCGGCAGATGCGGATCGGCATCGGCGGTGTCACGGCCTTTGAGCTCTTTACTCTGCCGCCCGACCTTCGATTCGAGCGGTTTGTGGCAAGCGAATTGCAGATGTTCCCACGATGCGATCATTTGGCGCCGACGCAAAGGTATTTGACGCAAAGGTATTTGCAAGGAAAATGGCGCGATTCCAATTTGTTTTAGTTTGAAACGGTCAAATTGGTGGACAACCTGCGGTTTTCAGTCGGTTCCCAAAGGCTACCAACTCGACACTCATACCTCATGTCCCAGAGCCTGAGTTGCCTGCGGTTTGATTGTTCTGGCGTCGATCATTTCATACTCAGACCTTGGGATACAGGCACCACTGCACTCCTTGACAGACGCCGCCTTCGGTTTGCAAGATGCACATGGCCGCCGGCGCCTGACTCCCAAAGGGCAAGTCATTCTGCGGATTTGTTCCGCGAGCAGATCTGATCTGAGCATTCAGTCCACTGTTATCTCAAAGTGCCTCCATCTATCTGCATCTGACCTTTGCGCTTGGCATGTCAGGAGTGCTACAATTGTGTAGGACAATAATGGGATTTGCTAAGAGCAGAGTGCTTGTAGAACTGGCCAGATCTGGATTTTGCCATTCCGGGTTCCGACTCGAGGTGTTTCGGGTCTCGTGCTGGTCTTCTTGAATCTTGTCAGCTCTCAGTCCGTTCTGCTGATTGGAACAGCAACTTTTGGGCTTCAAGGTGGGTTGCCTTTGGTACAGGTGATGCGATGGGAAATGTAGAACAAGTATGAACAAATCCTGTAGGTTTTGATGTGCCACTGTTTTGCTGAACCAAACGTGCCGAACCAAACGCCTTGCAGAGAAGCCTAGGTTCGACGATGACCAGAGCGGCAGCATCGACTACGTGGAGTTTCTCCGCCACGTGTTTCCGGAACAGCGCCTCAATCGCCGAAGCGGCCTTCCCCCTCCTCTCAATTTCGGGCGGCGTTGCCCTGGTTTTGCCCTTGGTTATTCTGAACAACAACAGCAAATATGCGAGAGGGTTTTCAAATAGTGGCCCTAAACTGGTGGGTGCCTTTCTGGTTTCCCTTTAAATACTAATCAAAAGAGGAAGGCTGCATGGTGGACCCCCTTTTGGTTACCTGCATCTCTTGAATGTTAATAATTCCCACTCCAAAAAGAAAAAAGTACTTTCTTCCATGCTGGAGTGATAATTTTCACTCCGTGTTAAAATGCCCGTTCGGGTAGTTCCGACTGCTCAGGCATCCGTTCGGACCCGTTCGGAACCGTTCGGAACCCGTTCGAACCCGTTCGGAGGTACGTAAAAAATACGCCAACATTACGCAATAAGCCTTTGATAATTTATGTGCAGTGCTGATTTACGAACACTTCGATGGTAGTGAAAATATCCGTTCAAGAGTAGAAATACCCGTTCGAAAGTGGAAATACCCGTGTCCTCAGGCCAAAAAGTACTTTTTCAATTTTGGAGTAGGAACTCTTAACTTCCAGGAGATCCAGGTAGTAATTGAAGGGAAACCAGAAAGGCACCCACCAGTGTAGGGCCACTATTTGAAAACCCTCCCCCATATTTGCTGTTGTTGTTCAAAGTAACCAAGGGCAAAACCAGGGAAACGCCTGAAGTTGAGATGGACGGTGACGTTCCTTGCACAGCTTTTGAAGTGAGAAGTGTGACGGAGGAAAGTCTTGCGGCCATGGAGCTGCACTGCTGAGGTACATCCGGAGCCAGTCAAGCCCCGACTCCTTCAGGACCCGTGCAGACGTGCAGACGTGACGGGAAAGAGACAGACTACACGTTCCAAATAAGTTCGCACATGATCGAACCTTCCAAAAGCAGTGAGTTTCCCGTGGTTTGCCATCAGAATAGCCCGTTATAACAGGGGTCAGGTCAAACCAAATACCCAAAGGAGGGCTGGGAAGCAACCGGTTTTTTTTCGACTGGTTGCCCGCCCATCGACCGGGCAAACTGGAAACCTCGCAAAGGGGCTTTGAGATCTCGCACGTGACGAAGGTCCTTTCAAGTCGTCAAGGGACAAATGCACCTGAGTTTGCACCCAGAGTTTGTCCAAGCAACCTGAGCTGAACATCAATTTGTCCATCTCAATATATCCCAACTTGGTCCAATTCCAGCGTTTTGAGGAGGAAGTTGGGATATATTGAGATGTGCGCTCGTATCTGCTTGGTTCAAGGCCAAGGGTCCACTCACGTGAAGAGTTGCTCACAGGACAAGAGCCATTTAATGTTGACCCCGTCTTAATCAACCCCAGCTTATTCATAGGAGTCCCTGGCTTAGTTTGGTTTAGTGGAGAATCATTATTGTTGGGCAACAACCCCCTTATGACTAAGCTGGGTTGATGAATATGGGGTCAACATTGCGGTGGTTAGACTCCGGATGCTCACTCGCAGGAGCTCCAAAGGAAGAGTGAGCTGCGCCTTACAGCGCCTGGAGGGGCTGAACCTGCCGTAGAAAGAGACGTTGGCCGGCCTACGGGCCCGAAACTTTTATTTTTTTTAAAGCACATAGACTGCACCCATCGGGCGCAGTTTGGCAAGGCCAAGAGACTGCACCCATCGGGTGTAGTTTGGTAAGGCCTAGTCACGTGGCCTCCGGGCTTGGCCGGGTCAACTTCAGACATGGCATGGTAACCCTTGGCTGCAAACTGCCCTTAGTTCATTGCCGATTCCTCATATCTCAAGCAGTTTGGCATGACATGTGGAACGGTGCAAAAGTCACGCTGTTTCAGCTTGCCATTTGACCCACTGGCCTCCGGCCAGTCCATTTCGAAACTTGGATAGCTCGGGTGTGTCCTTCTCATCGTGGCCGCTTGCCTTGAAGTGGCATTATTTTTGCTGCAGTGAAGGCCGTATGCTGCAGAACATGCATAACCAGAAGCAGTGCCGCGAGTCTGAAATCCATTCTCCGGCACGGCGCTGCCTCTGTGTTGTTGGCCTTCGCTCGCTTAGTGCGTGGCCGTGCTTTTCTCCGAAATTGCCAAGTGCGCAGATGCTCACTTGAGACGCAGTCTCAGGTCCCATTCTCAGCCACGATTTTCTTCTGCAGGAACCTGCAGCTTGAGTCCTTCCATAACATTCCGCGTCCAGGGTATGCACCAGAAGCGATGCTGTGCTTTGAAGGATCCCTTCCTGGCGGCTCCAAAGGAGCCACAGCATGCTGTTTAGCTGTGAAGCAGATGGGTTTGCTGTCTCTGGCCTTATGGAAACGAATGCCCGCACCGACTTGGGCGCATGGCCTTGTGACATCTTGTGAGCCAAACGCCCGCAAGTTGGGCAGGTCCGACTACCAGGGTGACCCAGGTTTCAACAGTTCACTATTCAATTGCCTGGGAAATTGACCTGAAATTATCTCAAATAAAGGAGATGCAGCGCTTGCAATTCAGATTTTTTTGGGGGGGGCTAACTACCAAATTACTTGGTGCGGATAGAGCAACGCAATGACATCGCCATAAATCGCACCAAGATCTCGCGGATGTACCCAACAAGGGTTTGACCATGTTCAGCAACCCCGACGCTCCTGGCGAACCTGTGGGATGGGCTGGTTTGTTGCTTCTTCAGCATGGCAAGCAGTGTCGCATCATCAGAAGTAACTGGCAAAATAAGTTTAGCGTTCGAGGTTTCATAGATCATGCGAGTTTACGGCCAGCTCGCCTGGGTGTAAAACGAGCTCACCATGATGTAGGTCCTTTACTTGTGGATCCAATCTTTCTTTCAAGTTTTGGACTTGACATAGAAATGCAGAACTTGCTTGTAATCTCTAAGAGCTTCTTCCACCTGCTTCAAACAGAATGACAAACGTACTCAAGTACAGCATGTTTCTGTGCAAATAACAACGAACTTACCTTGATTAAACAAGCTTACCCATGATGAAAGGTTCCTTACCGGAGTTCCAACGATGCTTGGCTCAAACATATCGATGTTGATATGACCCACCGCAGCGCTCTGCCTCAAGCCGAGCCATGAAGCTTCCCAACCTGATGCTTGGCTGTGTGGTACGGGGGGCAGGGGAAGCCGAAGCCACCTTGCCAGTTTACTTATTTTCCGGGGACGGGTTGTTCAGACATCTGAGTTCTATGGACATGTCTTTCTTTGTGGGGATGCCCTTTTCGCGATTGGTTGATGTGGAAGGCAATCCAGGCTCCAAACTTAGAGAAAACCCCATGTTTCAAAGTCAGTGTTGATTGGGTCAGATGTCATTGACAAGCTGCGAGTTTCCGGCTCGAAGCTGGCGGCCCGAGGCCAAAGACTTGGCATTCACACCATGGGCGTAGGCAATCAAACAGTTTGGAGGAAAAGGAGAACCATCTGGCCGCGACTGAGAACTTGGAGTCTTTCAATACCTGTCTGTTTTCTCTTGGTTTCCATGTTTGCGCGCTGTTTCACGTGCTTTGAATGACAAACACGCTTTGCTGGCACTTGCTTCTATCCTCAGTCGTTCGATTTCGGATGGTCTATTTACCTACCACTTTCTGAAATGGTATCACAATGCCGTACTCCGGCTACATTACCTATATCACAATTACATGGTATTGACGACTCAAGGCTGAGAGGAACCACAGAAGCCGCCATAAATTTCCAGATTCGGCCAACCCCTTCTTGCCTCGGGGCCACCGCCAAATTTCCAGATTCGGAAAAAGAAAACAACCTTACCTCGGTTGCAATAAGAGCGTTGCAACCAGGCGGTCAGCTCGGTTGCACGCCGAGGATTGAAGAGAAAAGTGGCGAGGAGAAGTCCCGACCGCTGGCCATCATCGATGCCAAGTTGGACCGAATCTCTGAGCAGGCGGGCGAGGGACCAGAACTCTGCTTGGCGGAGAATGGCCGCCCAAAACCATTTGGGTGTGGGTCAAAGATAGGTACCCCAAATGAAACCCTGGTGTGGAAATAAGCTCTTATACCTGCGGTCCCCTAGCGGTTCATCTTGACCCATACCCATTTGTTGTTTTTGTGGACCCGTGAATGTGTAGCATCCGTGATGCCGTGCGCTGGTTGTGTTGTGTCGCGTCGCCTTGTGTTTTGATGTGATGCTTTGTTGCTGCTGCTATGTATGTTGTTGCTGCTGCTGTTGCTGCCGCCAATGCTGACGCTGCCGCTGCCGCTGCCAAGATGGGATGTGCTTCAGCAACATGAAGTATGTGAAAACGCGCTTTGCAGCTGGTTGGAACCCAAATGCCAAAGCTCCTGGCCTTGACATCCACCAAACTTCTTCAGAAGCGGCGCCCAGCCTCCCACTTCCTTACGGTATGAGGTAGCAGTGCTGGATTTACCAGGGGGTGCTTTGCCAATCGTCAATGATTTCTTTCGTGCTTTCAGTGAAGAGGGCATGTTGCACCTCCTTCCTGGGCATTGGTCAATTGAGACAGCAGGACCTTTTTGCATAAACCGAGATATATACCGCCTATCCCTTTTGTGGCTTCTGAGTGTCTCTCCGGCTGAATTTGACTGATCCCTTAGCCTGGCTTCCTCTTTCCTGGGCCAGCAGTTGGTCATACTTGTCCCTCCTCTGCAAAAACCATGGATATCTTCATTCGCAAGGTTGTGAAACTTAGGTGCCTCTTTTTGGCACCCTCTTCGAAAGGCGGGCCTTTCCAGGGCGACCATAGGTTCACCGATCGGGGACTGCCGGACTGCCCGCAGGTGGACTCGTGCCTCTCGGAGGTCCTGAGCCTGAAGCCAGACCGCAAGCTGCGGCCCTCCTGGCGCCTCGCATCCATCGATGGATCGATGGATCGCCGCCGGTGGGAAATTTCGCCCCCCAAGACAAAGCCACCGAAGCCACCCGGGACTTGGGGAAACTACCGGGGCACAGCCGGAAGTTTTTGTTGGTGGAAGATTCCTATATGAAGCGCCTGGATGGCGGGCAGTGATTTGAGGGTGGAAGTCATCGAGTGAATGGCTCCTTGTTTTTGGTCAGAAGCCGTGAGCTCCCAGATGTCCGGCGTCCGGCGTTCAACTGGCGTTTCTGGGTCACACTTTTGGACCTGCAATCCCATTGCATGCGACATGATTGCTCTGTGGCATGCGAGCCACCCCTTTTTGTTGGTGTCCTGGTAAAATTATTTGATGTCATCATAGACAAAATCATTTGGAAAGGAATAGTTTGTCCCAGTAGTTATCCGTCTGATTGTTGGAGCCGATTTGGCACGAAGGATGCGGAAGTCGCTTCTCCAAGCAGAAGGTACCCATCACTTGGGAAAGTGTGTTGGGCCAGGGTTGCCTTGTCTATGGAACAGGGGGGGAGGAAAAAGGTCGAATTTTGGCACAGCAATGGTGCTTCCCATTGGTGCGTGCTTTTCGAGGATACGTTGTGTTGGGCAATTTTTACGCCAAGACCAAAGGGGAAGTTACTCGTACTGAGTTTGAGGGTGTCCTGCATTTGGTTTTTGTGGCCAAGCTTGTTTGGGGGGGGGGGAACCTGTTTGCCGGGATGGGGAATGGGTGGTGACCTTGAGGCGTGGAGATGAGCTGCTGCCCGTAATCCCGAACGCAGGCCGAAGTGAGACGCTTACAAACGGATCTTTGGCCCAAGTACAGAGATCCCTATATTTCCATTAGCACATCACCCCTACCAAAGAGAACTTACCTTAAAATGGGCCAAAAGGGTGATGTTTCACCTCACCAGAACTCCCCAAAATTGGGCTCCTGTGACTTGTGTCTTTTGTATATAATTGGGGTAACTGGGGTGTTAGTCCCCTTACAAGCATGGGTAGGATCTATTTGCTAAGGCCGAAAATGCAAGGCCCCCCCCAAACAACAAGTTTATTTGATTCAAGCAAAGTTAGCGACCCTCTTTCCGAGTGGTTTCAAGGGCAAGCAGAAACTACAAGGGGTCCTTGATTTCGAGACAAACGTATGACCACTGTATAATGGGGATACTTGCTCAGATTGTCCTTGGCGGGTGATGGTTTGAGCATCGTGGAAACACAATTGAAATCCAAACATGGCAAGCGCAATAGAGAATCTTCAACCCGTCCCATGTGTTTGGGGATGTTTGGGGCTCCGTTTGTGAAATTAGCCAAGGATAACCGGTTGTTGCAAGAATGTTTGAAGCTGCAGGTTTTGCCAACCTTACATGATTTGCGCAACCCCATTTTTCAAGAGAGTACTTACCTATTGGCCAAGGGAAGCGGCGAGATGTGTCCATGCGAGAGCATTCGTTCTCCAGCGGCACGCGCTAGTCTAGAGTCGGCGAGTCAATCAAACAACTCTGCATCCTGCCCCCCCCTGTCCGGTTGGAGGAAGCTCGTCCATCATTCGGGGTCCAGTGCTTTTGCCAACAGCAACATGATGCATTGCACTCTTTGGTGATTATATTCTGCCAAGTAGTCTTGGTTTACTTTTCTCTTCCAACCTTAACCCCCTTCTCCACTGAACTCCGCCGGCAAAAGACGGGGGAGCGCCCTTCTAGTATGGCCATTCGCAGCTCAGATTGCATGTCGCCCCGATTGCGGAGGCGCCCAGGCTGCACGGGTGATTGGCGTGCAAAACCCCCTCTTTCCTCAGGAGGGATTCCCAGGCCCCCCTCCCCCCCCCCAAAGGGTTTGGTTTCTCACTCCCTGAGTTCCTGAACTTTCAACTTTTTGGGAGGATCATTTTAGTGGTAAACAAAAAGTTCAGACTTGATTTGACTGGCCCGTCCACTCAGGGAGTGAGGCTAGGTGAGTTTCGGGCCTTTGGTTTCCTTTTCGGCACAGGTTCTCAAGACAGCGCGAGAACGCCCCCGCGGCGGAACAGCCGCAGCAGCCGCCCGCCCCGCTCCTCCACGGTGTCTTGGGCCTCCTTCTCGGCGAGGCAGGGGGTGACCGCTCCGACCCTGAAAAACATCGATCTTCTCATGTCCACTCCCACACCTGCATACTAGGACTTGCAGTTACGCCCAGCTCGGCGTAACTGACACGTCTCCCATACAAATTCTAAGGAAGCCATGAGTTTCCTTGAAGTGTGAGGGAGGTGAAGGGAACCCTAGTCGGCAAGAGGGTTCTCGTGTTATCCCGCGACTGCAAATGGAACTTGACTGAAGTTAAGAGAATCCACACGGCAACCATTCAGGTGGGTGATTAGTTTAGCAACGAACCCATATGAACTTGTGGGATACGGTGATGGTCTCGGGCAAGATGCAGATGTTGTTACGCAGCTAGAAGTCTTCCAGCCATGACCTCCACAGGAAATACGGAAAAAACAAATACATTTGCTGGTGCACACCTGTGTGTTTCGTCAAAAAACTCCAGCAGGATTATTCTTTCCAATTCGAGCTTGTTGGAGTCATTCCTTCGTTTGATGCCAGGAAGCAGTAACAGGGGACTTCCAAGCAGGACGCAGGGTATTGAGGGCCTAAACCTTGCAAGTAGGATAAATCTTGCGATATGCCATGACTTGTCAGCATAGTTTACCCGAGAAAGCCGGAGCATGCTGAGCTTTTGATATAGAGTAGTGGCGTAACACTGCCTCTTGTGAGTGTGTGTGTGTGTGTGTGTGCTGCCCCTTGTTTGCGATTAAACTGTCACAGCGTGTGGTCAGTTCCGGATATTGTAGGTTCAGCTGGCCACACATCGTCGTTCATTGGTCATCCAACACGCAGCTAGCTTGCCACTGTCCATGATTGACTCGTGCTTCGGTTTGTGTTTCTAAAGCTTTAAAGGCCGACTGGGCACCTGTTTTGCCAGGCCGGAGAGCTCCAAAGCCTTGTCCTCCCGTGCCTCCCAGTACCCCAGCCGCTTGAACAGTGATCGCGGCTCGGCATATCCAGCGGAAAATCGGAGGCATTCCGCGAATTCGATCAGCGCCCCACCTGTGCAGAGACAAAGGCTGTGGGGTTCATGGGCCATTTTATGGGGCTCCCCCTTGAATGGTGCATGGGCTGGGCTGCACATACAGCGAAACCTGTCAATAAACATGCCATTGGACTTTAGCCCAATGCCTCCACATTCCACTCAAGCAGAAAAGCAGGTGTCCATGACAGAAATGTGGTTTGTATTTTTATACGGGCTGCCTACTGCAACCATGGCAGCTAGAAGTGCTGCGTGGGGTATGATGCCGATTCGTAGGCAGAACAAGGGTGGTGCCTGGCCTCTCTCACAAACACACATCAAGAACGCCTGCCAAAACATTGCTTTTGGGAGCTGCCGGCTTCTCCCAAGTCACTGTCGAACTTGATGCTCGCACAGCTTCTGATTCTGCTGGTGGAAATTCAGGGATTATCTAACTATTGACCAGCTGAAACTGTTTTGCTGCAAGGGCATTCTGGGGTTGCCCTTGAACAGAGCCGAAACAAGCCGGCCCTGCTTGAGAGCTGGTATTGGCGTGATCTCATTGATGATCATTGCTTTGCGGCCAACTCATCCATTCCATCGCATTTTCTACGGGTTGTGGATGAGAAGAGTGGCATTTATGCATGCGCATGGACACCTGGTAAGTCGAACAACCACCAACGATCACCGCAATGTAGCCTCAGAACATGGTGAGCTTTGGATGCGTTAGCTCACAGCAATTGCACACATGAAGCCCTCGGATCAACGTACATGTCATGGAGGCCACGTGCACCTCAGCCCTAAGGGCTTGGATGAGCAGAATGAACTACCTCCATACGGCCCCTCACGATCCCTGACTGGCTTGATTGCAGCTATTGTTTTCTGGGCACTGGCAGGGCAGGTAGACAAGCCTGCAAAGCCTGCGCAACTTGTAGCGAGCTGCCGGATTGTGAAATGAGATATCCTGTATGTTGAAATGTGTTTTCTTCGTCGGATCAGGTGACATAAATGAAGCCTGCGCACAAATTGGCCAAGCCTTTGCAAAAGCAAGCTTTCGCAACCTCCAAACAAGTCCACGTGCAAATGGCGCGGGCGAAAGAAATGATGACGCTGCAAGCTATCATGCGCAATACTGTTTAACTCGAATATTGAACTATGATTGGACACGTGCGGTGAAGCTATGAGGTTGCAATGGCCAGGCTGCGAATAGTCATGCAAATCCACATGAGTTGGAAAAAAACTGTCGCAATTGCGTGTGACATCGCAGAACTGGCAGCGTCGATGAGCGCAACTGCAACTATTCAGGAAATTGCCATGGTCTCATCAGCGAACCTAGCACAATATTTGCGCCCTTTCCACCATGCAGAATGCCTATTGCAGCATTCCGCATACCAACCATTCAACATTCTATCACATCTGACACTCAACAATCGACAGCTCAACCTCACGTAAGGTTCGGCCAGATTCTGTCTAGGGCCCGCTTGGATTGATATTCTGAAAAAAATATTGAGGACTCACAAGTTGTCCCATGTCCTTTTGGGTTACCGCAGAATGCGACGTTGGCTCACGTCGCCCAAGGAAGGTAGTGTAAATCGCGGAGCTGTTTAGCTCAGGGCGGCGCTGCCATCCTCACTCCGTCGACTTGACGGCGGCGTGGCAATCACACGCCAAGGCGCTGTCACAGGACGACTGGGCAAAGGGGGGGGGTCGGACGGGGTTCGCTTCCAAGAGAAAGGGGTTCTACCTGCTCAATGGGGATCATGCCACTGAGTCGGCTATATAGACGGCGGAAAAACATGCTTGTAGCATCAAAAGTCGATTGGTTTAGGACTCTGGTTAGGTGACACGGAAAGTGTGGCGTGTTTTGATGTTTTGAAGGATGCAATGCTCGGGCCGGTGTCGTGAACCAGAAATCTAAATCTGGGAGCCCGGAGGGGCGAGGGATGTGAAGGAACTTTGGGCACGCCTTTCGACCGCAACCTGGACGATCAAATGGCCAGTTTGATCAATGAGGATTGCGACGCTTTCAGGGAGACATCCAATGTTGTGGTGTCCAACATTGGAAGCAGGAAACTGGAGTTGTCAAGTTATCAAAGAAACATTATGCAGAACTTTCGTTGTACTGAGTCGGGTGTCTCTCTGTCTCTGCAAAACATGTGCAAAGAGCGTGAAAAAGCTAGGGAACGACAAGAAACCGCGAGAACGGTGAATAGAACAGGGCAGAAACCGTGGCCCTGCGCATAGATTTGGCCCCTGCATGTGCGCCAAGAAGCTCGGCCACCTTTGAAGGAGCCGCGACTGCTACGCAGCCATTAAGTGGTCCACCCTTTTCAGACTTGTTGTTTGTGTTTGTGTGATGTGCTGATTGACGTGCCTGTAGGAAGCCAGAGTTGTGTTCCCCTCTCTGAACGTTTGAGTTCGTCAATCAACATGGTTAACCCCGAAAAAGGTTTAACTATGTTTCTACCAGGGCTGCTGGGTAAACGTATAGGGTGGAGAACAGGGCTTGGCAAGAAGAACAACATCTGCCAAACCCTCGTCCCCTGTAAGGGAAACCTCACGAATTTAGTTTAAACAGTTTTTGCAACGTTTGAACAAGGGGTCGGCAAAACCATGCTGGGAAAGCAGGACATCGAGCTTTCCAACAGCCACCAGCCCTTGATCCGCCTTATGACCCGCAGCCGCTGCGACGATCTTTGGGAACTGCTGGACGACCCGGACATTTGGCCTCAAAGGGAAAGGGCTTGGGTTGTTCAAAATTCTATTCCAGTCTCAGACTTCTAGTCGTGTCTTTTTTTTTTTGTGGGGGGGGGGGGGATTTGACATACGAATCAACTACCAGAAATGAAGGAGTTTTGTTGCCCCCTTTGGTACAATTTAATATGTGAGACGAACATGTTACCGCATACGCGATGCTTCGGACTAGCTAGTGTGTTGCCGAGGACTCGAGCAGATACGCCTGGTGGGCTTCCCAAGTCCTGAAGATCTCCGTCATCGTGGGGCTTTTGGTGTCCCAGGTGCAGACCGCAGAGGCAGTGGGTTTCCTGCAAGTTTTCGAGAGAGAGACACCGTCCACAAGAAAAAACGAGAATCCAAAGCACAGATGTTAAGCACATTGAAGCCTCTTTTGGGATACCCGTCCTTGTTTTGGGCGTCAGTTGGCATCGGTGAGTGTTTTTAGGTCCTGGGCCCGCGCTCTAGAACTAGAAGTAAGTTCCAGGTAGATTACCCTGAGACTAAGTCTCAGTCAGGATGGCCTCGAAAGCAGACACTACGAAGACCAAATATTTAGCTCTTAGCAACAAGTCGTTCGTTCTTTAGCCTTTCCTTTGGTGTCTCGCAGACTTTGCCCAACTCTTGTTGCGCCAGAGACGCTTTCTACAACTGGGTTGGAGTTTCTCCTTGCGACGGTGAAGTTTGACTCAATTTTGCAGCTAGGTGGCGAGTGTTGGAAGCCATCAAAATCCTCAAACAGGTGTTTCAAATAGGATTGACCGCACACCTCTTGTCGATGAGTCTAAAGGCTTGTCCAGACGGGCAGAAAGCACCTGGTCCTCAGCGATTGGTGTTTGACACGGAGAGTCCTTTGCGCATGCTGTTAGTTTGGTGCAAGTGGTTGTTCTTGGCACGGGTAGGGCGGCGCATGTGAGCAAAAGCGCAATGGCTCTCGGAATGCCGCGACGTTAGCTTCTGGCATGGACGCATCGTGCTGCCTGAATTTCAGATGCCAATGACAGACAGACGCCATACATGCACTATATGCTAAACGGGCGTAGCCCAAAACGCTCAATTTCCCAAAAAGGACGCCGCAAAGGGATGTTTTTTTCTTTAAAGAACCCTTGTAGAAATTAGACCCCCGTGCAACAGGAGCCCATTCTTTCAACGGAGCTTGCCGCATTGGTGGAAACTACTTTCGACGTCCTCTTCTGCACTGAGTTCGCGTGCCGCATTCTGCCGCGCGGCAAACTTACACTTCTCCCAGTTATCAATTGCAGAGGGATGGAGTCCACGCCCATTAATTAAGTGCTTCCCTTTTCATAGACTTTTCATGGTTTCGCTCTGTGGGTAGGTGGATCCGCATGTCAGAACCAGGGGGCCCTCATGATGTCCGGTTCGTTGGGGCTAGACCTGCTTACAAATTGGCAGAACTTCTGTATGTTTTGAGTAGGTGGCTGCTTGTGGTGACATATCTTGTGATTTTATGTTTGCTCATGGCATGGTATCAGCTGGAGGCCCATGCATGCCAAATTGTGCTGATGAAAGGCCAGGGACCTGTAACTCATACTGGAGAACCACGGGCAGTGAATATAAATGCATGGTTGTTTGCGCATGTGTGTGCGGATGCGAACCGTCTTTGTTGCCGATGATGCTTAGTGCTGCAGGGCTAGGTGGTAGATGCGTGTTTCGGGGGTTTGTCTATGTTGCGAGTTGCGACTGGGTGAATGTCGATGTGTTTGTTGGAGTGTGGTAAGCGCATGTCAGCGCTCCGAAGAGGATTGGTTGCACTAGGCACTAGGCGGACGGCCATGCTTAGCTTAGTTTGAACATCCCCACCACCTTAAATATGGAATTGGGGGAGGGTGAGCCCTAGAATTCCATTTATGGTTCCATATCCCTTTATGGGGAAGACTAGATATATGGAATTGGGGACCCCTCCCCCCTTTTGGTAGGGGGATGTTTGAACTGTATGGCATTGTAACAAGTCCCTCCCTTCCCTTAATGGACATGTTTCCTTTTGTGAAGGGCGCCCCATGCCGCCCTCCTTCCGGTTCACCTCAGTCCTCTTGGGTCCTTTCAGTCCTTTTCCGCTTTTGTTCGTGTAAATGTGCTCTCCCCCTTTTCGAGGTCCAAACATCGCTCGACACAGCAATTTGCCAGTACGGAGTTTCAACAGCAGTCATGTGTTTGCTTATGATTGGTCTCGAATTGGTTGAGTATATGGCCTGATGTCGGGGCTATCACCTGTGCAAAGGGCCCGCTTGTTTTTGTATGTAGCTCTGCACATTTGTGTGCTGTGATGACCGCGCAGCTCAGCATTGGGACATGGTAGCACAAATCCATCCTTGCGTCCAGGAACTTGTGACTCTTCGGCGTTTCAGCGCTTGTAACGAACTCAACGCCAACACGCTCCAACCTCCAAAGCTTTGCATCGCGCATGCTGGTTGGACCAAACCAGGGCAAGGCGTGGAAGTGATGAATGGACGAAGGGCCGGCTGGGTTCCGGTCAATCAAAGTGCCCGAATCCCTGCAACCATGAAAGCCTTTTGAAATCAACCCCCTTTTCAGTTTGTGAGCTGGCCTTCACCCGTCTGGCCCACTCCCAACTGGGGGCTGATGCTTGCTTGTGATGGCCACAGGCTCATGAAGGCGGTTTTTCGAGGGTGCCCTTTTGGGTGTTGTTCCAGTTCAAGCAGAAGCTAAAAGGGAAACCCGCACTTTTGAGGTTTCCCTATGAGACGCCCCCACAGCCTTCCCACTTCCATGTCGAGTCACGCTTGAGGAGTGCCCCATCCAAGCGCAGCTACTTCTTGGATCCTCTGAATCTCGGACGCGCATTTCGGCGGGTGTATCGGGCGTCTATGAAGGGTTTCCAGAAATGGTAGCTGGGAAATCACGACGTCACTTGATAAATAGCCCCCTACGTTTGCGAGTGGCTTTTGACAGATGCAATGGTAGAACCGATCCAGGTCTGTCCTGCTCAGCTTGCGATTGATTGTGTGGCTGTGGCTTGTGCAGCTAGTAGAACTGGTGCAAGGCAGCCTGGCGTCTCGGTCCGGTTGGAAGTCGCCATGTGGCCGACCCGAAGCCATGTGACCATTGTTCAACATCAATTCAATCAATCTGGTCAGACTCAACATCAGTCCGACTTTAATCAATTTAATTTAAACAGCATCAATTCAATCAATCCTGAATTCATGAGAGGCTCCTCCGTTTTGAACCTGGTCTTCTCAACGTTGCAAGCGGGCGCCAGGAACTGGGCCGACATGTTCTCGGCCACGGCCTTGCCGCTGCGCGCCTCCGTCGGGTTTGAGGTATACCCCGCTCTGAATGGCAGCCGCCTCTTGGACGGAAGAGCTTCGCCTCGGCCCGGTACACTCTGTATCTGTTTTGCTGGGAGCGGTCCTTGAGACATCTTCGCAAGCGAAGTGTTTTCCTCGAACGCCAGGGGTCCTTGAGGATGGAAGCGGAAAACCCAATGTCGCACGCCACAGACACTAGCAGCGCGCATCCCGACTCTCTGTTTTAGACTTAAATGGGCATGCATGTGCGTGTGTGTGTCTGCTTTCCGGCATTTGTTGCTGTCCGAACCATCGAAACTATCCGGAACAGGTCGATTCCGCTACGAGTTTGCAAAGCTCATGCTAAACGAGTGTGAGATTCCTTCTGCAATTTAACATGGCTTCTGAAAAAAGCGTTCCACCAAAAGGGCATTTCTCCACAGGCAATGGTTTTCGGTGTTCCGTGTGAAGCTGAAGCGTATGTTTGTCGTGACTCTCAGGAAACATCCAGGTGATCTTGCTGCTGTTCTTGCCCATCGTGCGGTTTCTCAAGTTGCTACGGTACTTCGAGCCGCGGCCTGTATCCGAATCAAAGGAATCCGTTGGGTTGCCTTTCATCCAAGCTTGAGGGGTGGCCATTCTACTCATGAACCTGTCCACTGTCTGGCGGGTTCCATGTTTCGAGAGGGCACTCAGTCACATGAAGTTGGGCGAGATGAGTTTGGGGCCGCCAAACAGCCAGTTGCCATGATTTGCCATGATCCTAAGGTGAAAGGGCTAGCAACAGGACGAACAAGGGACCCGTTGGCCCAATGCCAATGGCCGTCCGCATAAACTCAATACCTGGGCATGATAGCATCATCATTTTGTTCCCTTCGGGGTTACGAACAATCCAGGTTTGCACCGCAGGGCCAAAGCAGCCCCCAAGCATGGAGCACTGTGGAAATGTGAATGTGTGAAAGTGGCGTACCTACAGTTCAGCTGGATGGGAGCATTTCGCATTTGACAGCTGATTGAAAGTGAGGTAAACAAAGGAACGCGATTGGGTACTGTATAAAGTGTGCAGCCGGGCCAGCTGCAATCAATAGGAACTGATAGACTTTGCTTATCCATTTGCAAACTTTGGGCTTTGTCGGTTTCCACCATGCTTCGTTTAAATGCTTTACTGAAAAAGGTCCTGCAGTTGCAGATTAACACACATCCTTCTGGTGTGCACTTTTTCTGGTACTCTCGGGCTGACACATAAGTTTTATTTGTTTGGTCTAAAGGGTGTGTGGGTCAAGGTGCTGATGCGTGTCCACGTGTGTTATTTTCTTTGAGCAGCTTGCCCGTTCAGGCCGTTGTTCCGTCCGCCTGCCTGCTAACCTTTGTTTGTTTCTTTGTTTGTTTGTGCTTGTCTGTGTGTGTGTTTTGTTCGCGCGTATCTTGTTGTCGTGGTGTTATTGTGTGCTTTGCGTGATAGATGTGTGTCACTAGCTTGATGTTTTGGGTTTGTTATTTGCCAGTGTCTTTGCTTCCTTGTGCTTGTTGTTGTTGCTGCTGCTGTTGTTTTGTTGCTTGTTGCTTGATGCTTGATGTTTGTGGCTTGTGGCTTGTGGTTGTCGTTGTGGTTGTCGTTGTTGCTGTTGCTGTTGCTGTTGCCGCGGCTGCTGCTACTGCTGCTACCGTCGTTTTCGTTTGGTGGTCGAAGTCGTCGTTGTCGTTGTCGTCGTTCTCGCTTGTGTTTGCTTGTTTCCTTATATTTCTGGTGTTTTGCTCGTTCGTTTGTTTGTTGGTGCGTTTGCTTGGTTGGTTGGTAGCTTTATCGGTTTGTTGGTTGGTTGGTTGGTTGGTTGGTTGGTTGGTTGGTTGGTTGGTTGGTTGGTTGGTTGGTTGGTTGGTTGGTTGGTTGGTTGGTTAAAGGTTAATTGGTCAATTGGTTGGTTGGTCTGTCGGTCTTCTTCCCGGGCGCCTCCTTGCCGACAGCATCGTGGAGGAGGCGGCGCAAGGCCGCCGGCGCCCTGCTGACATCTTCCTCCCGCGGGGTGGTGACGGTGGCCCGGTGTGTTGGGACTTTGCAGTCACATCGGGCATGCAGGCGAGCGAGTTGCATGCTACTGCGGCCGGGGGCACCTCCCTGGCGGGCAGCTACGAAGACCGCAAGCGGGCTTACCTTGGGACGGAGGAGCTGTGCCGCAACAGCGGCATGCAGTTCCTGCCCTTGGTCGTTGAAGCTCATGGAGGGGCTTGGGGCCCGGCAGCGACCAAGGCCTGGGCCTGGCTGAGCAAGACCGCAGCAACCGCGGACGGGGGGCGCTGGCGGGCCTTCCGGACTGAAGCCGCAGCACCTGGTGGATGCGCAGGCCCCCGGTCACACGGACGAGCTCTACCGGCTGTTGGCGCTGGTGGCCCAGGAGCTGGGCCGAGGCCATGCTCCACCACAGGCAAGGCAGCTCCTGTCTGGGGCCTCGCTGGTTGCTTTGCCCAAGCCTGCAGGGGGGCACCGGCCCATTGCCGTGGGCGAAACTCTGCGACGGGTTGTGGGCAAATGTTTGGCAGCCGAGGCGAAGGAGGATGCCAGGCGCCACCTGGAGCCACGGCAGCTGGGCGTGGGCACACCGGCGGGAGCCGAGACGGTGGTGCACGTCGTGCGCCAGTGGTTTGCCCGCCACCATGGCGACGACGACCGCGTGTTGGTCAAGTTGGACATGGAGAATGCCTTCAACACCGTTGACCGGCAGGCCGTCCTGGCGGCCGTCCGGGCTTCCGTTCCTGCGCTGACTCCGTGGGCTGACTTCACGTACGGGGTGCCTTCTTCCCTCTGGCTGGCTGGGCGCGCAGTGCCTTCTCAGCGTGGCGTGCAGCAAGGGGACCCGCTGGGGCCGCTCTTCTTTTCCTTGGCCTTGGACGCCGCGGTGGAGAAGGCTTTTCAGCGCTTGCGGCAATTGGGAGCGGGTGCCCTTGACTTTGCCGTCTTCTACTTGGATGATGCGACCTTGGCTGGCCCCGCCCCCGTGGTCGCCCAGGCTTGCCGCTTCTTGGAGGTTGAGCTCGCGGCCATCGGTCTGCCCATCAACGCCTCCAAGTGCGAGGCGGTGCCTGCGGCGTTGAACGGCCCTGCAGCCCGGGCAGTGCCGCCATTGTTCCCCCGCTTCCAGTGGAAGGGTGATGGCAACTGGGAGGTTTTGGGGGCGCCAATTGGCGATGCTCCCTTCTGCGCGCGCCACCTGGCGTGGCCCGCCGGGCGGGGTGCCGGCCTGAGAAAGAGAAGGCCGGTCTTCTTGCCGGGTGCCTCCTTGCCGACAGCATCGTGGTGGAGGCGGCGCAAGGCCGCCGGCGCCCTGCTGACATCTTCCTCCCGCGGGGTGGTGACGGTGGCCCGGTGTGTTGGGACTTTGCAGTCACATCGGGCATGCAGGCGAGCGAGTTGCATGCTACTGCGGCCGGGGGCACCTCCCTGGCGGGCAGCTACGAAGACCGGCATGCAGTTCCTGGCCTTGGTCGTTGAAGCTCATGGAGGGGCTTGGGGCCCGGCAGCGACCAAGGCCTGGGCCTGGCTGAGCAAGACCGCAGCAACCGCGGACGGGGAGCCGCCCGGGCGGGTGGCGGAGCAATTGTTGCAGCGCTTGTCTACCTCCCTTCACCGGGAAAATGCGCGCGCAGTTGTCCGTCGCCTGCTCTTGCCGGCGGGTGACCCGGACCGGGGGCCCCTCTGGGTGCCGGGAGGTGAGGCGGAGTTCCTGGGAGCCGCCGGCTGATCCTCTCCTTTCCTTGTCCCGCGAGCCTGTGTCGTCTAGCTGCAGGGGAGGCCCGCAACTGGCCCTTGCAGGGGGCTGGGGATGGTGTCCCGCGAGTCTATGTTGGCTAGCTGTGGGAGGGGCCCGGCAACTGGCTCCCACAGGAGACTGGGGGCACGGTCATTTGGCCAGGGGGCTTTCGGGCTGCCGAGTTCAATATCCGGCTGACCCAGACGCCGGACCAGGTCAACGAAGGATCTTCACCCCTCCTGGCCCATTTTGGGTCCGGCCGGGTTTCACCTTTGAGGCCTTGAGAGCCATTCACGGTCTGTGCAAGCTTCGCATAGATCCCTTGACCTTTGTACAGTATTTGTATCTGTCGGTTGGTTGGTTGGTTGGTTGGTTGGTTGGTTGGTTGGTTGGTTGGTTGGTTGGTTGGTTGGTTGGTTGGTTACTTTGTTTGTTTGTTTGGTTGCGTGCTTGTTTGTGTGAATGTCGTGTTTGTGTGTGGGTGTGCGCGTTTGTTGTTGCTTGCTTGCTTCCATGGTTGTTTTATTTGTTGCTCTGTTTGCTTTGTTGTGTATTGGCTTGTTTTGTCTGCTTGTTTGTGTTGTATGTTTGGTTGGAGTTGTTTGCGTTGTTTTCTTATTAGCTTGTTTGCTTGTTTGTTTTTTGCTTGCTTGCTTCTTTGTTTGCTTGCTTGCTTGCTTGCTTGCTTGCTTGTTTGTTTGTTTGTTTGTTTGTTTGTTCTTCCGTGTGTGATTGTGTGGTTGCCTTGCTGTTCCTTTCTTGTGTGTGTGTTTGTCTGTTTGTCTGTCTCTCTTTGTCTGTTTGTTTGTTGTTTGGTTGTTTTTTTGCTTGCATGCTCTTGTTTCTTGTCTTTTATTTTTGTTGTTTGTCGGTTGGTTGGTTGGTTCGGTCGGTTGGACGGACGGACAGGCGGACGTGACGGACGCATGGATGGATGGTTGTTGTTGGTGTTGGTGGGGTTGTGGGTGGTGGTTGTTTGCATCGTCACTGTCGTCATTTGTTGTTGTGGTCGTTGTCGTCGCCGCCATCGCCTTCGTCGGTGATGTTCCCTTCCTGTGGTAGGTGCCTTGGTGTGCCTTGGTGTGCCTTGTTTTGTTGGCTGGCTTGCTTGCTTGCTTGCTTGCTTGCTTGCTTGCTTGCTTGCTTGCTTGCTTGCTTGCTTGCTTGCTTGCTTGCTTGCTTGCTTGCTTGTGTCGATGATTGTAATCTCTTCCCCCTATTAATAAATACGGGTCCCCCCCAATTAGTAAAAAATCCTCCCCCCAAAATATATATATATATATGTTAATATACATATATATAAATGTGGTTTTCGGAATTGTTTTTTGCTTTTCCAACAATGTGAGGGTTCACATAGGATTTGGATCAAATGGATTGAATTGCAAGGTCCGCGAGTAAGCGGTTTAATAAGGAAAAAATATGTATCATGTTTACTGGTTGTTTGTTTGCCGCCAGGCAGGTTAATTAATTAGCCAGCATGTACGGGAGAGAGACAGTCGCAGCTAGACAGCTTTTGGGGACATGTTTTCTTTTGAGGGACACCACCCCAATAAAGGACCCAATTAGGATTGGGGCTGGAAGCTTGCCAAAAGTGCCCCCTAACAAGGATTCCAAGACTTTAGTATTGATTTAGTATTGGCGCAATGGAAAATCAATTGTGCGGAGTGGAAATCTGGTCCCGGGCCCCGCATTTCCATTTTTTATTAATTGGGGTCATTCATTAATAGGGGGAAGAGATTATGGATGTGCGTTGTCATGTATGCGCTTTGCACATTGGTTTGCTGGCTTGTTCGCATTGACTGGCAGGTTTCTTGCTAGCCAACGGTTCCAGCGTGTGCCTGGATGTCTAAAGCATTTCTGGCAAACAAGTCAAACAACAAATCCCTGCATTGCACTTTATGGCCGCGTAGGGAATCCGACAATAATTACCCCCAATATGAATGTGGGGAATGCCAGGTTTGTCTCAAACAGGAGCCCCGAAATTGGTAGTGCTGCTTTGATCATTGGTTTCCCTTGTAGGCTTGTAAGGACCAAAGGTACCCTCGAAACAACCATACCCAGTTCTGGGTTGTTCGAAGTAGGGGATCCACCAAACAAAACACAGCTAGATAAAGCCCTTGGAAAGGAGTCGAGTACTGAACAATTACCATGATGTAGGACAGGAGGAGATTGCCTCTTGAGTAGAGGTCACTTAGTGATGTTACATACCGTATGTTACATGCCATGTCATACATTTTACAGTCTATCCCGTTTGCCAGTCTGAGGAAACATTCAGATTGTTGATCCATGCAGCTCGAAGCTCCGTTGACGCCTTGCCGGTGCTTTTCTACATCATGACTGTGATCACGCTGGTAGCCGCGACCGCGATTTACTTGGCGGAGTCGCGGGCAAATATTCCCAGCATGCACCACTCACTTTGGCTGGCGATCGTGACCATGACCACCGTGGGGTACGGCGACTATTACCCGACTTCCCTTGCAGGTTATATCATTGCATCGGTTCTCACCTTTGTGAGCGTATTATTTTTGGCCTTGCCGGTGGGCATTATTGGCAATGAGCTCCTTGGTGTAGATGTGGCTCGCATTTCAGGACTGCGTTGCTAATCCACCAAGCTTTGCACAGCAAGAGCAAATCCAACAGTAGAGTACAATCAAATCAAGCAAACGGCATCGAAGGACTTACCAAACTATGTACCTCGGTGAGACATGTAGGAGTTCAGCACTTTCGTTGTCCTGCAGGTTTTATCGATGCTGACATGCTGCGGCCACGGAGTGTTGAAGATTGTAAGATGCGGACAGGTATACACAATTTACGCCCCCCTTCATTGACATGGTACCTGAAGGGGGTCCTTCCAAGATTAAATTGACCTTCTAGATGGGAATGCAGCGATTGCAAACCTGCCGTGATTCAAAAACCAAGACTTAAATGGATTCAACCACTGCTAGTCAAAACCACTGCTAGTCAAAAGCTGACATCCCCGCTTCAAGAACTATAGTCCCCGATCCAGCAAACATGCAGCGCCCGATTCAACAAACATACAGCGCCCGATTCAGCAACTCCAGTCGCACGATTCAACCGCCAAAATCGCCTGCGCCTTGGACTGAGCCCGCGCAGCTACATGACACGCATGCCTGCTACATATGCCCCAGTGCCTCGAAGTTGTTCTACCCGCTTGCTTAGCTTTGGACTGTAAATGTTTACTTTTTCGAATATGCCATTGTTTCCTTTTTTTTCCGATTCCACGCGCACGCACGTGTGTGTGTGTGTGTGTTTCTTAGTTGTTTCGAGCCTGTGTTTATTCTAGTTGTTCAATCTGTATCTTTCAGTTCTCGTGCCTGTTTAAAAACAAAGCTGTCGAAACAGGGTTTTGAATTCTGAATCCGAGTTTAGTTGATAGTTGTTCACTCCGCTTTCTTTAGTTGTCAAATCTGGTTTGCAGTTGTCAATTCAGTTCGTTGAATGTTCGAATCTGCTAGTTTCATTTTCGAAACAGTTGGTGTTCAATGCCGTGTTTAGTTTTCGAACCCTGGTTTCGCTTCTGATCCAGGGATCTTGGTTTGTCGAATCCATTGGAGTTCGAATCCGCCTTTTGTGTTTTGGCATCCGCGTTTTTGGATTTTGAATCCGACTCTTGCCCCAGATACCCCCCCACCTGGATGAACCCCTACAACAAACCGCCTATCGACTGGTGCCTGGCGCAGAATTTGTCATCAACAGTACCATTCTGATGAGGTGTTCTTCTTTTACTCCGCTCCCCCGACAACACTACGCCCCCTCGCCCTAAATAATAAGTTATATTCGCCTGGGGCCGAACAATACTTGTCAGGGGTCCATTTCTGCCCCAGAAGGGTTCCGCTACTGTCCTCGTCCAAATAGGGTTCCCCCTTTCCGGGCGCAAACATCGTACCAAATATTGGATTTCTGCTGGTTTCGAGTTGGCTAAATATTGGTTGGTTTAACATTGGTTCAGTAACTTCTGGTTTGAATATGTCCCCGACCCCTAATAATAAGACATGGGGAGGTATAGAATCGTTTATAGTACTGTCCAATTCTAGCTGCATAGAATTGGAGTCTGCATGTGGACTTTTTACTGGGCCCTCCTGGTTGCTTGCCTGGTTGGTTGGCTGCACGTGGCAGTACTGAGGTTCACAGCCTGCTGGCAGGGCCGATCCCAGGTTTTGCTGAAGACGCGCATGCGGAAGTGTTTGCTCAAGCGCCTTGCCAACTGGTTTCTTGCGGACAGGGGGTGTGACTTTTTGAGGGTACTCCTTTTTGGGTGGTCTTAAAAGGGAAGCCAAAAGGAAGAATCACTTTTGCCTCTTCTTGTTTTTTTTTTGGGGGGAAAAACAGACACACCCCTGGTGCTTTGATGAATGAGTGTCAATGATCTAGATCGGTGATTTGGCATTTGTTGCTTTGCGGAAGATGTTTTTCTTGGTTGCGTTAGTGTTGGCGCAACCTTGCCTTTGTGTAATGTGTGTATTTTACTTGTCGGTAACCCGCTCAGATGGACCCTGTGGAGGTGGGGCTATACTGCCAACGACTTGAAGACCCTGATCTCTTTTGTGGATGCTGATGCTGATGGGTTCTTGACTCTCGTGGAGTTTCTGGAGTTAGTGCGCCAGATGCGGATCGGCCTGTCGGCGGCTCGCTCGGAGTTTTCGGGCGATTGATCGGTGCTTCGGCGCCACAGAACCTGGTCTACTCGCCTTGCAATGGAAGGTCAAAGTGTTGACAGGCATTGTGTCAATGCCCTTTTGCAAGCGACGGTATAGTTGCTGGCGCAAGCGGGGGTGTGAAGACCAAAAAATTGTTTGTGGTTCATGATCTCGGTGCAAGCGAACAGGAGGTTCAAGAGAAGATTGCTCTACTCTGGGGCGGCTATTCGCAGAGACACAGGGATCCTTCGCTTTGCAGCTACCGGTCACGCAGAACCAGCTTCATTTGCTGGGATGTTGCAAGTCGGATGTTTGACCACAGCTCAATGGGTTCGAGCTGAGGGTGGCCAAAGCGACCGGTCGAAGCTAGTATTTTGTTCATGAGGAGAAACCCATCTACTGATTCCTTGCCATTCCAAAATTCCTGGTTTTTCATACTGTGTGGCGGATTGTCATGATTCCATGCATCCCAAGGGAGGCATAGGGAGCCTCTTAGTTCTCAAAAAGTTGAGGCCATGTCGGGCTCAAGTATGGTGCCGTCAGGCCGAGGATGCCGTGGACCTCTTCATGCTTTTCGACTCGGATCAGAACGGACGCATCGACCACGCGGAGTTCGTGCGGCAAGTGTTCCCGGAGGAGTTCGTCAAGGCCGGAAAAAGAGAGTCTCAATCAGAATCGCCTGTTGCTCTGCGCCAACCTTGTGGACCTTAGTGGGAATCAAGAGCGGCGGGGCGTCCGTACATCTCTCAAGGGCAACGACAACCAAGAATATACCCCCCACCCCGGGTTGAGGCATTTTCCTTTCCAGCCCTCCGCTGGCTTGCTGAAATTTATGAAGCCAAAAGGGCCCTGCAGCGTGTTTGTTTTTTCGGTTCCGGGTGGCCGATTGCCTGTAGCAAGCAAGCCTTGGTTGAAAGGCCCCTTGGTGAATTATAAACGGGGATTTACTGATATAGGGCTCTCAAATCTTTGCAATTTGGATTTGACTAGCCCTTTTTTTCTCTCACGAGCCCCCTTTGCTGGAGCCAACGCTGTCCTTAACCCAAATTAGCTTGCCACTGGATGATTGAAATCGGGGCCGGGTTTGTTCGTAGGGATTTCTTAATGTTGTTGGATTGTGCCAAGGTTGTGGTAACTCGTCAATGAATCGGGTTGTGCAATTAATAGTCATGAACCCTGCGAATTGCATTCAGAGAGCAAACACATTGAACATCCTCAGCCTACCGCAAGTTTGGCAACTTGCGCTTGGAGCCACCCAACTGGGCTTGTGGGCCGAGAATGATCTAAATATCTTTGCATAGATGGGGCACATTTGACTAAGCAACGCGACTTGGCCAGCCAATGTATATCCTTGAACTTTGCAAACACATTTCGATATTTCATTCCGTCGTTCCACTTCGAGTAAAATGTAAAGAGGTGTGCCGACAGGTTTAGAGGCCCTATGCTTGCTTTGGCTCCACACCACGGGCCCTTGAGCTTTTTCGGCAAATCGGCTGCTGCGAGGACACCGCGCGGCAGACGGTCCAGGATAAATCTCTGCGCATCAGCCAGGCACTGCAACATTTGGAAGTAGCGGCCTGGATCGCACGACTCTGAATGCAATGGGTATGTCAGGCCGGGAGTTTGGATGCATGCGTAGTCGCCCGGTCCGTGGGCGCTTGCCGGACAGAGTTCCTTTCCCCACATGTAAAAGCTGTCATGAGTTTTCCCATTCAGATCCATAGGTTCAGGATGTGGCTTGCCCAAATGGTACAGATTGAACTGGACTTCCCAAAGGTCTGAGCGGATATTTGGCAGAGAGGCCTGCGATTCACCAGATCTGGCCGGGTGCTAATACACCTGCCCCAATTCAAACGAACGGAGAACTTGTGTTGTGCATGCGGGGCAACCGCGTCGCAGGCTGCGCTTTGATGCAGCTGTAGGAGCCTGTTGATCCGCAAAGCGTCGTTCACACTAGCTTGCAGTTGTGTCACTTGAGCTTGCTACTGTGGATGGACGAAATCCTGCACCACCCAAGAAACCCTAGAATGATGATTCCCCTGTAAATACCAACAAACAATGCTTTCCCATGGTTTCAACGTGGTGCAAAATTTCGTCCATCCACAGTACAAACGTTCAACTATTTCCCGACATCCTGACTCAAACTGACACCAGCCTCCGGAGGAGAGCAGCATGTTCCATTGCTAGGCTTGGCAGCCGCATACCCGGCTCCACCGGGTTGGGCTCACCTTTTTGAGCATGTTGAAGCCACTATTGGCAGCATTCAACTGTTCAAACATAAGCCAAGTATGTCAAAAGTTAGGAATTTCTTTGGAAGGGGTGCCATACTCTGGTTGTTGTTCAGCTCAGTTTGCCCTAAGCTGACCGTGGCGTTATGTCATGTTTTGGAGCGCCAGCTCAGGTTCGGGGCGACAGCAACGAGGTCTCTGAGACGGAGAGCTGAAGGATGAGGCCAGGGGGGCGGGGGGGGGGGGGGTAATAGCAACTGTACGTTTGAACAATATCCAAAAAGGGCACCCCCTCAACAAAAGTCATGGCTGGGAACCCTTTCTCCCACCCTTCCTGGCTCTCTGCTTGCCTCCCTCCCTTTCCTCCCTCTCCTCCATGTGACCCTTTCATTCCCTTGCCTTTTCCCTCCACTCCCCTGCCCGGCCGTGCCCTTCCCATCCGGTTCTTTGTACGTCTCTCCATTCCTTCTTGCCTTCTGTCCTTCCTGCGGTGTGCCTCCTTGCCTCCTTCCTCCTTGACTCTTTGTCAGATTGTGTCAGCGTCTGTTTTCTCTTGTCCCCGCGTTGGCAAAGTGGATCAAGCAAAGTGAGCTGATTGGCAGGCCGACAAATGACCCACCACAAGACCAACTAACCTCTGAATTGTGTCCACGTCATGGTGTTTGTTCTTCGGCTGGCAATAGCATATTGAGGATCCCCATTTTTAACGAGCTTTCTCAAGGGTGGCTGGGACAACCACATTTTTACTAGGGTCACAGGGCGACTGGCACCGAACCAAATTGCATCAAGGGTTGAGTCAGCCCACTTGGCATCTTCGGCATCATTTCTCACAATACGTAAGGCCCCATTCAATCAAGGTTTTATTCGCTACCCGCAGTGACCCGCAGGCCAACGGAGTCCAAACAAATTCGCCTACGCCGCGCAAGCGCGAGCAGCCTGGCCTGATGAAGATGCGAGACCTACACAGAAGCTACTCCCCAAAGCCCAGAATCTAGCCCCCATATCCGTGCGAAGGTTTGACTTGACCTCAGAGTTTATGATTGTGCAAGATGACATGCCTTGTGCCGATGTGGTGCTTCTGGTTTTCCATGAGCCGCAGGACAAGCGCCAGGAGAAGTCAGGATCTGAGAGTTGCTTCCGGAGTGAGGTGAAGCCTCCTGGGTGTCATAAAGGGTATACTGATGGCTTAACCCAATGCCACATAAAACTATCGCAGCCTTGTGATCCAGATGTTGCAACTTCTTGCAGCAACAAGAGGGGATCAGCTTCTGGATCAGCTCAAATTGCTTCTTTGCTCAAGGCCCGGTTGAAAAGGCTTGATCTTCTTGCAACAGCTGTGTCCAGGAGGCATGCATGTCCTTTCCAGGCCAGCTGCAGACAGATGCGACCCCCAGGCTGGCCAATATCACCAAATCTGCAAGACAGTTGGATATACTATGATAAGTGTTCGCTTTCGCCCAAGTGCAAGTGGCTCAATGCATATGTGTGTGTGTGTGTGTTTTCCACAGGCTTGGTGGCTGCTCTGAGGTGCTGCACCACAAAGAACACGCCATATCGCATTGCAGCCCGAACAGTAACATGATTTTCCCGGAACAAATACGTTCTTTCGGAAAGGATGCTCTTGCTTGTTACACTACAGGAATGACGGCATTGAAGGAGTTCCAATTTGCAAGTGCATCCTTTCTTTCTAGTAGTCAATCAGGCGTTGGTATGGGCTCCCGTAAGTTGAGCGCAAAAGGCATGTTATCACTAGCCGTTTTCGCCATGGCCCTAGCGGCAAACCATCATTGATCGGCCTGGGTTGGCATGCTGCGGCGTGTGGTGAATTCGAACTCGGAAACAGCGGCAGAATGCAGACAGCAACATGCATCGCTCGTGCAAAACTCCCGTTCCTTATCATGGAAGGACACTTTGCCAGAAGCAGCAAAGATACTCTAGACACATTTGTTGGGGAATTGCCTGCTGCAATTAAGCCTGAAGCAGTATGACCCTTTTATTGAAGCTGGGTTTGAGCAACTGATGAGGCTGGCTAAAGCATGTTGACTACAATCAGCACTGCTTTGGGCACTGTCGCGCCAAGCAAGTGCCGCCTGTGAAAGAGTCTTATGGAGAACAGTCTCCCCTGAATTCAAGCATGGTTTGCGCACCGAGGCTGCAGGCGGGCGGGGATCAATCATGTTTGCATGAGACTGGCTCCTGAAAGCATGGTGCGACGTTGATAGAACTCATGAGAGCGCTTTCTTCAGTCATGTTCTTCCGGAAAGTTGACATCCTGTCGGGATATTGCTTGCACCTATGAATGAAACATGCATGGTCCATCCTGGCAGCTCATTTAGCCCAGGACCAAGGGATTCCTTTGGTTGCCACACAGCCCTCGGCAGCACTGTCGCCGAGTTCAAGTTGGCAGTCCTTCATTCAGACATTCAGTTGAGACCAGGATTTGCTTCGCTCTGTGCTGCCTCAATTTAGAAGCATAGGGCTCAGGAATCACCAGAAAGCATGCTTTTCTTTTTGGAATTATAATTGAATCTAAATGTAGCTGTCACTATCCCTTCGTGCCATTTGTTTTGTTGACAGACACATCCGCTTTTGGAAGACAAACCGCACCGTCAAGCGTGCTCAACTTGTGTTTGATGCTTCTCCAATCCGACTTTGAAGACCAGAGCTGGCAGTTCAACCTTATCAGGCTAAATTTGCAAAGGAGGCCTACGCAGCTGCCGAGCCGCTGGGACATGACCGGTTTTTCTGGAGTAAAGCCATGCTGGCCATATTGAAGATCGCATTTCGGATTTCCTCTCGAGCCAGACGCGCAAATCGGTGTCTTTAGGCGCCTGTTGCGGCCTCGGAGTGCCGGGTGCATGGTACACGGGGTGAGTTTTTACCTGGCAAAGCCAGGGTTGAGCGAGCGCTGCCCCGGCCGATCTTGGCCAGCGGACCTTGCCTGACATCAACGAGACCCCGAGTTTGGGGATTGCACTTTGGGGATGGCGCTGGTTGACTATTCTTGGAACACCATGTAGCAATGAAGTCCGCATTTTTTCCCAGCGTCTTAAACCCTGTTGGCATTCACCTGCAAAGCGAGCGCTGGATGTGCCGTGTGGGGTTGTCTCAAAATAGGGAACTCCATTTTTGGACACGTTCGAAGCGAAAAAAACCGGCGTGTGGAGGGCTCCCCTACAGTTTCCCTCGGGCTTGAAGGTCGCAGGGTCCACAGCCACGAATTCGCGGCTTCCGTGGACCTGTCGCAAGCGGGTGAGCGGGGGAGCTTAGCCCCTTTCATCAGGACGGCCAGAGTGGAATAAATGATGGTGTGCTGACTTCCAACCTGCGGATTGCTCGTTTCAGGCGTGAGATGAGCCGGTTTTCGGACTGCCTGACAGACCTGGTTGCAATTGGGCTTTTCTGCTCACCTTCGCAAGAAAGAAGCTTTCAGATTTCAGAGCCTAGATTTGGAGCCCTTTCGAGGCTGCACAAAAATGGGCACTTACAAGTAGGGTTACCCCCCATCCCGGGCAGACTGACATGGAGCCCAAACAGCCGCAATTGACTATTTCAAGAAGCCCTGACCCTTTTGTTTCAAGCATGAAGCTATCCACGCGACGCCCAAACGGCCTTGCAGCACATGTTTGTTGGGTACATATTTGCCCAAACCCACATCCACACCACATCAATGATCTGGGAAGCTACACAAAACAATTGCTGGGGATGTTGCTACTGCCGTCGCTGAATGTTTGGACTGAGTCCTTCTTTTGTTATAGTGCTTTTTGTAATCTTACTGATTCTTTCGGCGCAGCAAGCTGTTAATCATTGATGTGCCCCAGCAACATGAAAATATTAACCTTAGATAACTCCGGAGTACAAATCAGGAAGGCGAGGACATGAGTTGTTTTTGTCTTGGGGGGGATTCCTCCTATCAAGATACCATAACACGTTCCTGCGGATCAATCCGAAGTCAACATTAGGCAGGACAACTAGAGGGTGGAAGGACCCGTGAGTGCTCACGAGC